AATTCACTCTTTTTAGAATTGACTGCTGGAGGTGCACAGTAATGAACTGACCATGTTAGAGAGTCATCCACAGGATACAAAGAGGGGTTTTACACTTAAGTTGAAGTGCTTCTGCTTTGAAAATGTAAAGAGTTGAAGGTGTTTGCTCCCCTCTGAAGTTCTGCTGTCGTTGGCTGTGATAAATCTTTTTGTGTATTTCTGTCTGTCTGATGTTTCTAAAGACCGACCCCACGCTCTCCATCCAGTGAGCTTGTGGGTATAAATTATGTGCGCTCACACGTCATTAAAAGCTAGATTTTTTTCTACCAACCGTGGAGCCCACTGATATTAATACAGCGTTGATTACACACCAAGAAACAGATTGTAACCATGTGATCATGCGACAGACAACAAGGAAATTATTTAAAAAAAAAAAAGAGGGTTTCGCCACGAAATTAAAGAACGATTAGAGACAATTTGAAGGGGAACAGCAGAACGGATGAAGCAGAGGGGCAAATCGAGAAAGCAAAGGAGAGGATCCAAAACACTGAAGAGGTCATGACAAAGATGTTGAAGCTACATGTGATGCTAAAAGACTTATAGAGAGACGCTCCAGATGTGAGAATGTGAGAGGGAGAATTACCAACGATGGGTACATTCATGGAAAATCTGCTTCAAGAGGGTCTAGGTCTATCTGAGGACGTGACAGATTTGCAAATAGAAAGAGCACAGCGTTCAGCGGGGCCGTCAGAAGACACCCATCATATCTAAGACACTCTACTCTGTAAGGGACGGGATCCACATGGCAAGATAACCAAATAAACCTGGATCACGACTATCCACCTCTCATCATAAAAGAGAGAAGAGAATAATACGCAGAGGTCCGTAAAGGTACTGAAAGAAAGTTCAATTCCAGACTCTCTTCCCCTCCAAGCTGCGGGTGAGTTAACCCTCAGGCATCAGTTTAATTTACGACCCTCTTAAGTCACTAAGGACAAACATGTCCACTTCTAAAAAACTTCTATAAAAATAGAACAGATTGATATTTTTCTGCATACATCTCTTAAACAACTTCAGCCCTGTTCAAAACTACCAAACATTCAATCATTTTTAGGAATTTAACCCTTCCTAAAAATGATTGAATGTTTGGTAGTTTTGAACAGGACTGAAGTTGTTAAGAGATGTATGCAGAAAAAAATAGAAAAAAATATCATTTGTAAGTGGACATTTTGTCCTTAGTGACTTAAGAGGGTAGTAAACATGTTTCACAGTGTTCTATTGATCTATTAAAAAAAATGCATTTAAAAAGTGTCAAGAGAGACTTTCTCACAAAAATGTGTGCCATATGCACTAACACAGACAAAATGATGACCAGATGAAGAGGAAACATTTGCCCAAATGGACAAAAATGTCCATAATGATGCATGAGGGTTAAGGACGGAACCAAAATCTCCAAAACAATAGAGGTGGCAACCTTAAGATGTGATGAGCAGAGGCTATACCGTGAACACCATCAAGCCTCCAGGGGGGGCGAACAAATGACAAATAACTTAAATTGAAAACCCTAAACTCAAAGACGTCTGTACAATAGTGAAGGTTATGTGCATTGACAACTATAGTTTGCTTTTGAATAATGAGGAAAATTAAAAAAATATATATATGTAAATTTGCTCAGCAGAAAACACAAGGTCATCATGTAAATGACTTCTCTCTCCATCCCCCTGCTTGAAAAAAAACCTCTTCCTGCATGTTTGAACAGGTGTCAGGTGAAAGTGAGGTCACCCTGCAGGCAGATCTTTAAACCTTGAATCAGCTGAACTATGAGTAATAAGGTGGTATTGTTTGTGACTCACCACTTTGCGGACTCTGGTTTTATAATCGATGTGAAGCTCTTTGTGTTTCTGCAGAGACGCTTCTAATGAACTCTTCAGGTCCAGAGCTCTCCTCAACATCTGCTGTTCAGCGCCCGCTTTGGTGAACACCTACACACACACAGGTAAAAACACACAGGTAAAAACACACCAGACAGACATGAAAACAAACAGGTGAGACTGCCTGGACATCATTTATATACAACCATTTACAAAATAAGATAAGACAAAATAAAGAGATTCAACATTAAGGATAAATTAAACGTTCAAAGCAGCAGCAATAACAGCAATGTATACAGGAAAAAGACAGCATGCACCATTATCATCAGAAAGTTGTTGGGCCACATTGAGTGTTGTCCAAAGTGTGGAGCGAGAGTATTAAACCCTGTAACAGGTGTAACAACTGAACAGGTGTAACACCTTTTATTAGTTGTCATGGCAATCCGAACATTTCTTTAAAACAAATGTCACCAATCATGAAGGTGTTTTTCTCAAATTGTGAGTGATTTGAGATAGTCTCCTAAGGAGTGTCCAAAAGCTTTCTGCAGTATTCATCCCCGGCACACTAACGAAGGGCGTGTGGAGGAGTACTTTAAGAAAGGCCCATAGTCTGTAGGAAAAGATAGACGACATGACAGCTACCTAAAAGTGAAGCAAAAACATTAAGAGCTCTAACATGTGGTGTCGGTCTTAAGGTCTGCCTCCTCCTTTAAACAAGTGACAAACTACTAAGGTGCACCGATAGATCCATGTGACCCTCACGAGTAGAGCCGATTTAAGGCCTGATCAGACACATACACACACAGATGAGCTGTTTCATGCCCTGTGCAGAGCGCTGCGCACAGTGACACACATCATAAAACTAAAGCAGAATACAGGTAACAAAGGTTTCAAGTGGAGATTCATCTGAGTGAGCATGAGAGATGGTCATGTGACCTCAAAGTCAAAGTCAACTTTATTGTCAATTTCAAAATATGCCAGACATACAGTGAAATCGAAAATGCGTTTGTCTCCGGTGGTGCAATACAACCAAAATAAGGTAAAATAAGATAAGGTAAATTAGATAAAATAAAATGAGGTAAAAATAAGATAAATAATATTTACAGTAATACATTTTAAATTGTGCAAAAGGTAGTAAGTAAAATACAATAAAATTTAAAGAAAAAGTGAACTTGTGCAGTATGTGCAATGTGCAGTAAACTGAGTGTACAGAGACCTGAGTGAGCATGAGAGATGGTCATGTGACCTGAGGCACTTTTGAATAGTTTTTTGTAACAAAAGGTTATTTAACAGTCAGGTTTTATTATAAATAAAAATATATTTAAATCAAAGACATTTTCCATTTTTTTTTCCGTTTTGCTGATAGTAGAGCTTTAAAGGCAGAAAATCAGTATCGGCAGGTCAGACCAGGTAAAATGGGAAATCAACTGGCGGCCACGTTGGCCACATCCAGCTCTACAAAGCTTTCCAAACATACATTAGAATATAAACAAATTCAGAACATTCGACAATTTGATTTGAAAAAAATATGTTGTGGTATTGAAGGTATTTAGGAGGGCATCAAGAAAAAAGCTGACACTGGTATAAATGTAGCTGATGACCCCTGAACTATACAATCAGAAAACATGTTTCTGTCATCATAGTACGATGTTATCAGGCTGATATTTATTTTTAATACTGAAGTTAAGATTTAATTTGTTTAATGATATAAAAAAAAAGGAGTATAACGGAATATAGCTCTGTTGACAGATGAGGCTCCTGCATTGCTGTGTGCAACAGATTATCAGAGTAGAGGAGGACAGTGAGTGTCTGTTCCGCTGTGGACTGAACCCACCTGAGCGACCTTTGACCTTTAATCAGGACGTTTAGTGTGCTTTGGATAGAGGAAGGGACAGACGATCTCTACTGAGCATGTCCTGCCTCTAAATCAGTTCTCAACTCGTCTAGACAATTAGTGAATAAAATGTCTTTCAGAAGGACACCTCATCCATCATCACACACACTCAGAGGTTTGTAACCTACCTGGACCCAGCTCTGCACAGCTGGTAGGTGTTTGGTCTTGATCAGTTTATGGAGGTCTATCACCGTGGAAACCACTGCCTCATTATCTTCTGTCTCCTTTAAATGAAGACCTGGAGGAGGGAGAAGGAAAAGAAAAGTTAAAGAAGTAGAAAAATATATCGTCTTAGCTTCCACCTGCCTGTGTTTCTGTTTGAACAGAATCTGTGCTCATATGTTGACGTACCAGTGCTGAGGTTCAGGTCCAGACTGTACGAGTGAGAGATGAGACCAGAGTTACGGATAAAACTGTCTCCATCAAGAGATTCCTGTTCATCTTCATCCTCCTCCTTTTTTTCTTCTTCTTCTTCTTCTTCTTCTTCTTCTTCTTCACTACTCTCCTCCTCTGTCTCCTTCTCATCCTGCTCTTTCCCATCCTTCTTCTTTTCTTCCTCTCCCTTCTTGATCGTACCTTCTTCATCTTTTTCCTCCATCTCTTTCATCGCTCCGTCTCTCCTGTCATCCTTCAGGTCTTTGCTGCAGCACGGCTCTTCCTCACACTCATTGGCTGGTTGGGACTTTTGGGGGCTATTGGCTCCCTGAATGCCTGCGAGGTCAAACTCGGGTAAAAGGAGCCTCATGCATGACTCCATCTCGGTCAACGTCGCCTCGATTTCCTGCTGCGACTCTGATGAAGAAATACAACTTGATGAACATTCCTGAATAAATACTTTAACTGTTATCGTTGTTTGATGATGTCTGTTTACCCTCCATGTCTTTGGATGCCGCCTCCACCCTCTCCTTGTAGATCCTCGCCATTTTTCTCTGTCTCTCCTCCTCCCGTCTCCTCTCTGCTACAGTCCGAGCCTCAGCGTCCTGAAAGTCCACCTGAAAACATTCAAACATCACACTCGTTCACAACATCAGGATCACAACATGGGAAAATTAATTTAACACAGAAAACAGACTGACAGTACCAGAGCAGGTTTAGATTATGTGGTGTCATCTTTAGGGGATAATAATAATATAATAATATCTTTATTTATAAAGCACCTTTAAAAACAAATGTTTACAAAGTGCTGTGACAGACAAAGCAAATATAGCAACACGACAACAAAACAGAGATCAACAGAGAGGGCAAAAATAATATCAATGCAAATAACAGGAATAAGATTCAACAGGCAGGTATGGAGAGGCAGTTCAGTACAATGAAGGAACATTAGTTTAAAATCAACCAGGAGAGAAGAAAATGAAAATTGAGGGAGAGTGGGACGATATCACATCACAGGCTGTAAACACAGAATGAAGATAAAAAGAAGAGATAAACGGGAGATTGGTTAAATGAATAAAGCAACAGAGAGCTGAAGAGTAAAACGATAAAAGGAGGAGGAATTTAAAAAGACTAAGATCAGTAAAATGAATACAGGAAGGGATACATTTAAAGGCTAAAACATTTAAAGAAGAGAAAGATAAAAATTACTACTTTAAATGTTCCACCCAATACTCTGGTTTATCTACTAATCAGGGCGCTGAGGGGTTTGTGAATGAGAAGGAGTTTATAGCTGATGTGTGATTTCATTGGAGACCAGTGGAGTTGGATGAGGGTTGTGGTGCAGCCAGGGCTTAGTGCGGGTGAGAACCTTGTCAGCCTGTTGGGGCTCTGCTGAGTGAGTACCTCACATAGGACTCACATAGTCGAGGCAGGAGGTTACAAAGTTAGATTTTTTGGGGCTTTCTGCCTACAGAGTATCGAAAAATGGCTTGTCATTCGATACCAAATTTCGATGCCTACAGAGTTTGATGGTCCGCACTGGTTACCACTGGTAATGGTGATTGGCTGCTTAACCAGACGGGGCACACGTGTGTGTTGTTGTGTTTTGAGAGGCTTGACTACAGTGTGCATCGTGAAGTTTAGAAACATGTCAAGAGATCAAAACAGACAACTTTAGTTAAAGCACAGTGTGGTAAAATGGTTTATATTCTCATGTTATGAAACTGCTTTGAATGTTTTAAAATGCCAAAACCAAAGATTTGTATCATAATGTGTAATGTAATTTGTTTTGTTAAAATGGATTTTTATAAAATTGGTATTGAAAAAAGTATCGTTTAGGAATCGTTATCAAAGTCAAGGTATCGGTATCAGTATCATATCAAAGATTTTTGAAAGCTATCCAGCTCTAGGCGTGAGTCAGAGTTTCTGCCACTTCTGTCACTTTGAGTTCAGAGAGTGACGGTCGGAGTCAGGAGACATCTTTTTTATGAAAGGAGGCGGATTTGATGTGGGAGATGAATGTCCAAATAATAACCTTGAGACTGATAAACACTGATCACTTTGAGAAACTGTATGTAAAGTGTGCAGCCTGTATTTCTGTTGCTCATGCAGCTCAGTGATGCAGCTAAAAACTAAAAAACAAAGCAAGTGTATCTACTCAGGGTCCCTTTATCGGATTAGAAACAACATGTTTATCTCTAGGAGGTATTTCTTACATCCCTCTCACCTTCTTGACCTGCTTCAGGAAGTGGTAGCCAAGAGCTAACTTCTTGTATGCCGTCCCATAAGAGACCTGCCAGGATTGGACGGTTTGGATAGCCAGTGCCCTTAGCTTCCTGGCAACTTCTTTAGGAGGGGGGAGGGGCTGTTCCAAGTCCGTCTCTACAGTCAATTCCAAGAACTCCTGCATGGGGAGGAGGCCATTAAAGAGGACATGGAGGACATGGAGGAAGAGGAGAGAAAGAGGAGAGGCTGTTCATCTCTCATTCCTCACAGAACCATACCAGAGGTACTCACTCCACACTATTCTTTCTCTGATGCGTGTTAATCCTTAAGTTTATCTGAGATGAGTGATTGGTTCTACCTGGAAGTTGTCGACCAGCATCGTCCTGAAGTGGTGCGATCTGGAGAAAAGCTGGCTGGCGATCTGAAAGGCGGACAGTCTGACCTCGGCGTGTTCTTGGCTGAGCTGAGACATCATGGAGTGATAAACGTGGTCGATGCAGTCATTAGACGCTCTGAAAGAAGTGAGCCGAACAACAGGGAGAGTTAAAAGTAGTTTGGGATTCACTCTGTTTTTCCAACGTGTACATTTCATTCTGTTATTGATCGTATCAATATTCATACGATCCTGTGGAATCTTACAGCTGATTCAACACATCAGGAAAATGTTTCACACAGGTGGTTCAGTCTTATTAAAACATTTATAATCAGGTAAATTTAGTAGATATATTGTGTATGGTTTATTATGATAATGATAAAAGAACTTTAATCATATAGCACCTGATATTGTTGTTTACAAAGTGTTTTAACAGACAAAGCAAAAAGAGGATTAAAGGATGTTTCTGAATCTGCTCCCCTGATCTCCTCCAGCAGGTTGACCCAAAGTCGAGAGGCCCTGAACTCCCTTACATTTCAGCATCCACTATGTCATTGATCATGTGGCCCATTGTGCATCAATATGTCGGAATTAAAAAGCAGCACTCGACTTAACTAAAAAAGACGTCGTAAAAATGAAAAGTAGTAACGTACTTGCAGATCTTCTTGATCTCCTTCATCTTGTCCTGGTTCAGCTGAGGCTGTCCAGATGTGGTCAGCTCCTCCACCAGCACAGACAGCCTGTCCCTCTGAGACAACTCCATCACTACTCACACACACACACACACACACACACACACATCAACCTGTGAAATACTGCTGACTGGGAGGAATTTACCTGGAGATAATTTTCCCTCCATATTCAACAAAGACAAAAATATTGAAACATTCTATGTGACTGTGGAAGCAGCTGTGAATCTGAGTGAAAACAAAAACAACAACAAGAGAGAAGGACAACATATTATAGAGATATTGGAGGTAAATAGCAAAACAATTTTTTGAAAAAACGTTTTTAACCCCTACCAGGGTTTAGGGCAAAGTGTACATAAAGAAAACATAAATAAACCACAGTGACATACGGGCAACACTGAACTACATAAGAGTTTCAAAAGTATTAAATATGATCTAAAAAAGAATAGTGATATTAAAAAGACTGATTAAAAAGTTTTTACAAACAGTCAAATTATTTTGATATGTCTTCATATCTTTTTCACAAGTGTTCGATAACTGTATTTGATGGATCCTGGATCAATGCAATACATGTATATATCTATCTCTCTGGATCAACCATAGATCTAAGAAAGATATCTGCCAATATATCTGTATCTTTTTCGCTCCATATTTTGATATTGGCCGAAAAGTCTAAAATGAGTTTGAAAATATGGGCAGAAATCCAATATGTGCATCCCTACTTATTATATCTGAACTCCTGTTTGACCTGTGTTTTATTCTTTGAATTGTAAGGTTTTTTAATGATTTAGTGGTGTTGTTTTGACTTCTTGTGTGAAGCACAATTTGAATATTTCTAAATATATCCGACTTTTTTATTCAATCACATTAACTAGCCTGCATACAAAAATAAAATAAGATTCAGATTAACAGCCACACAGCCTTCTTTGAAACATCAACTAGTGTATACTAAAATAATCAACATTCATTTACTATTCAGATAACTACACGAATAATCCACAATGAATACAACTGTAAGAAAATACACTATAGAATATACACAACTCGATCATTAGTTAAATGATCATTTGTTATGATGTTAGCTAAATGCTAACAAATGTAAACAAACTCTTTAGCTAACCTCTTACCTGCTGTCAGTTGTTTTTTTTAAACATCCAGATGTTAGCTCCAAACGCCGTGAGAAAGTTTTATCTCTGGCATGACAAAAACTATTACATTTACGAAGTTTATTTAGTTCAAATTACACATTAATATCCTTCTCTGTGTCTGCTAGTCCTTGCCTCAAACGTACTTCCGTTCATGACTGTACTACCGGGATGAATTTTCGGAATAAAAGCATCGATGATAACGCTCTTGTGAGGGGCCTTTTTTACGACGGCATATTAGGGCCACTCAAAAAACAAGATTCGAGATTAAAGCCGTAAATTTGAGACTATAATCTCATAAATGTATGTCTTAAATATTTAGTATTTAATATTTCCCTTCTGTGGTTTAAAATCGTAAATTTTAGTTGTTGTTGTTGTTTTTCCTTTAATGTGTCCCTAATACTCTACATTGTAGAGTTCAGCTGAACTGACAACAAATTATAGGCTACAGATCGCAATGAAACAGATCACTGTGCACATGTATAAATCACCTGAGGCTTCTTGCATGCTCTGATGGGTGACTGTTCTTTTAATTGAGTTTGCACAGGAGCAACATGAGTGGTAATCCGGGTTTTGCATTTTACAGGGCAGTGTTTCTCACAGTGTACTAAATGATGCCATTTGTGTTCAGTTGCAAAAACTGTGATGAACTGGAATTATATTTAAGTATGGCCGTAACCAGCTATGAGGACACAGAGGTCTGGAACTTTTTTTTTAAACAAGACAGCAACATTTTTTACCAATCCCCTTAAAACAAAAACAACCACCCGATATAACGAGGTTACTGTATGACCATGTGTCAGAGAAAATTAATCACAACTGGATCATGTAAATTTTCAGCTTTTTTGTCATTCTCAAGTTCATACACACAAAAAAAAAATGTCTTACTAACTGATATATCAGCTAAGGCTCCTTGTATTAGCAAGAAACTTTGCAGGGCTGGAAAAGTGCAGAAACAACTGTCCAGTCCACATTTTTATAAAAGTATTCAATGAATGCATTCATTATTGTGTATACAACACAAAAGGGACAAAAAGAGTAGATAAGAACCACAAAGTTCTGCAGAAAAGACACAAACTGGTGAATAGCAACTGACCAGAATGCAGGAACAGAAATGTATGCTGCTTTACATTTTTTGGGGGGAGCCACCCCAGACCCCACGTACCATAGTGCTGACTATTAAACAGCAAATAGGGCCAACTTTTAATGTCATGGATGCTCTCGACGGATGACCAGCCGGCACATGAGCCACGGATCATTCACTTTACAAATATAAGTAATGTGTGTGAATTTGTGTCAGTCAGCTGTTTGGCTTGGGTTGCTATTGAAGGTATCATTTGGGCATGTCCCATAATGCCTTAAGATCATCAGGAACTGTGTGCATAGGACCATTCTTTGTGTGTGTATAACGGGGGGAAACTTTGACCGCATGATAGCTACTTTCTGTTGTTCAAACTCCGTACCAGCAGGTGGCGGTAATGAACACTTCAGCTGTCGGACAGTTAACTTGTACACAGTAGAAGAAGGTGAATGACGTGGACCAATCAGAGTCACAGCAGCTTTCAGTCGTTTGAACAAGACACATTACACACCCGATATTTTTACCTGGATCGCATCCTTTAATTTGACCGAAACAGGTGAGTCTTTGACGAAGATAAATAATGACGATGTTTGCTAACTCGATAAGAGCAGCTGCCGTCATTTTGGCTAGCTTTAGTGTGAAATGAAAGAAGCGATATCACGAAACAAACGTCTTTCACAATGTGGACAGTTATGAAGGGATGACCCTGCCTACTGCCTAATGACTGGCTAGTCATTCAAACTAAATATGCAAAAGTAGTTTTACATGTGACTATTTACAACAGGTTGTTTATCCTCAGCTGGATCAGCAGCTTAAAATAAACATGGGGGAGGGTATATCACTTCTTCAGGCACCACTACACCACTGTAGATAACACAATCTAATCATCACTTCATTTACATAAAGTGTCTGAAAACTGACAACACAACTAGAGAGGCACTGAGTGGGTATATCAGGGTTTAAAATAACACTTTAGCCGATTGTCGATTCCAATACCAATATTTGTTTTATGACTTCTTAGACATTTTCTCTTCAGTTTGTCAATGAAAACAATTCAGAGTTTGTCCAACAGGAAACTTCCTCTGTTCAAAAAAACCTCTTCTCTGAATCAGTAGTTAGGTGAACTCGATGTTGGAAATGCTGTCTCAGGGTGCGTTCGTATTGTCCCTCCTATCTCCTTTCACTATCCACTTTACCTTAACCCTGGAAGCAGTTAACTGGCGGCCATGATAAGAGCCGTTCGAATTCTCTAAAAGTTAAGGAAAGGTGGTTCAATGCTTCCTTTATAACCTCCTTTAGCATAGGATACACTGGACCATCCTTTACGAAAGGAGATGAGATATGACGCCCCACAATTCCTTGCGGCCGCAACATTTAAAGCGAGTCGCGCATCCGACCGTTCAGGAACATTAACGTTGATCGTAAAGTAACACAGATCATGTAAAGGAAGAGACATTTTAAACCAGATGATGTTTTATTTAACGTATTTCATTCTCTTAAGAATGTTTTGTGCAGTTGTACATTTATATGCTTAAAACATCATGTGTAGGTTATATCTTGCAGAAATGTAACAATTAATTTCATACAATCATATTGATGTTGATGTTGATTTCTGATTGGACAGGAAGCTGATGGTTTCACTTTTGTTACTTGTAGCCTGGTATTCTATATTTCTTTGTGGTAATTAGGATTATTTCACCGGTAAGAAGGCACAGGGGAAAGTTTTATAGATGTGTTTTTTGTAGTCCATTTTCTGAACATTGTAGTTTCAACACGGCAGACCCACGTCATTAACCTCCACCGGCCCGTCGCATTTAATGATGTCACCTAGTGGAGAATGCGGTCGGATTGTCAGAGCAACGAGATCGCCTTTCCCTCAGTCCTTTATGAATTCTCCTAACATCTTTCCTTAACCTCATGACGTTTTCCCGGGGTTAAGGTAAAGTGGATAGTGAAAGCAGATAGGAGGGACAATTCGAACGCACCCCGAGTCTAACTTTCAGTCAACCTAACGACAGGCTGAGAGCTGGAGCTGAAGCTGAGGCGGGTTTAAACCTCCCAACAAACCGTTACACCGCGCCCACCTGTCAATCAGGTCAGCTACACGCCTTATTGTGGGTCCTCATAACAGTGGGACTTCAGTATGTAAGGACAGTGTTGTTGTTGTATCACTCCCTCTCCTGTGTTTCAGGCACCATGAGGCTGCAGCTCTCCTGTAGTGACAGACGTGTTTCATTCAGCTGCTTCACCTTCACCGTCCTCCTGCTGCTGCTGATCTGCCACATAGGTCAGATTTTGGGTCAAAAGGTGAGCATGTAAGGAAGACGGAACATGTGTGAATGGATTAGAACATTAATGAAATCAGGGCCTCTGACATTTTTAAGTTTTATGTTCAAATCTAAGATCATTGCAAGGGAGGTTAGACAATCCCAGTCTCAAAACTAACTATATATTTCTATTTTATTTTAAAGTTTATTTAAAGACTTAATATGTGATTTTTTACCCTTAAATGTAATAGAAATCAAGTATATCCTCTGAAAATAACTCTGAGTCATGACTGTCTACAATGGGTGTAACACCCCGAGTCCCACTGTCTGTGATGTTTTCAGAGTCCTATCTTCAGTTTGTTTACATCGCCGGGACGGCCGGCTGACTCCTCCCCTCACATATAAAAATTGTTTAATTGAGGGACTAGAGAAAAGAAGAATAACATACTGTACTCACTGGCTGTATCTGAATTGCCAAGTACCGACGCAATCTTTCAGTAGGCAGTAGTCAGTAGACTGTACCTACTACTGGACATGCATCAGTGGAGAGTTGTCAGAGTGGGGCTGCTACACAAGGTGACGCCACAGGCGGCCTTCGTCATCATTAGTTCTTTGCCGTCTGCTTGGTGTGTCAGCGCCCTGAGGAAGTGTGAGCTGCTCCTGAAAGCTGTCGTACTATTGCTGTATGTGCTGCTGTGATAAAAACGTCATGTAAATACTAAATAGACCTGAGCTTGTATATTTCTTTTCTAGTCTTCTGACTACTCCAAGCGCTTTTACACCACAGGTCACACCTACACATTCACACACTGATGGTAGAGGCTGCTGAGTAAAGAGTCCATCAGTATTAACTCATCCATTCATAAACATTCACACACTGATGGTAGAGGCTGCTGAGTAAAGAGTCCATCAGTATTAACTCATCCATTCATAAGCATTCACACACTGGTGGTAGAGGCTGCTGTGTACAGAGTCCATCAGTATTCACTCATCCATTCATACACATTCACACACTGATGGTAGAGGCCGCTGTGTAAAGAGCCCCTCAGTATTAACTGACCCATTCATACACATTCACACACTGATGGTAGAGGCTTCTGAGTAAAGAGTCCATCAGTATTAACTCATTCAATTCAATTCATTTTTTTTTGTATAGCGTCAACTCATAACAAGTGTTATCTCAAGACACTTTACAAAAAGCAGGTAAAATACCTTACTCTTTGTCTGTTAACATTATGAAAGAGCAGGTAAAAAGACCTTACTCATTGTTATGTTACAAAAAGCAGGTAAAAGACCTTACTTATTGCTATATTACAAAGACCCGGCCTATCCATCATGAGCAAAAGTTACAGTGGTAAGAAAAAACTGCCTTATTGTTGTTCTGGCAGGCCGTCAACCAACGAGAGAGAGAGAGAGAGAGAGAGAGAGAGAGAGAGAGAGAGAGAGAGAGAGAGAGAGAGACTCTGTAGGCTTGGAGAGAGAGTCCAAGCCTATAGCTGCACTAACTATAAGATTTATCAAAAAGGAAAGTTTTAAGTCTATTCTTAAAAATACAGACTGTGTCTGCCTCCCGGACCCCGGCTGGAAGGCGGTTCCAGAGGAGAGGAGCCCGATAACTGAAGGCTTTACCCCCCATAGTACCACCAGCAGGCCTGCACCCCGGGACTGCAACGCTCTCGAGGGACAGTACGGCACTAGTAGCTCCTTAAGATAAGATGGTGCCTGGCCATTTAGAGCTTTGTAAGTGAGAAGAAGGATCTTGAATTCTATTCGAGACTGTATAGGGAGCCAGTGCAGAGAAGCCAAGACAGGAGTAATGTGGTCCCTTTTCCTGGTTCTGGTCAGTACACGAGCTGCAGCGTTCTGGACCAGTTGAAGAGTCTTTAGAGACTTGCCAGAGCACCCTGACAAAAGAGAGTTATCATCCAATCTGGAGGTAACAAATGCATGAACTAGTTTTTCTGCATCATTTTGCGACAGGATATTCCTGATCTTGGATATATTACGAAGGTGAAAATAGGCTGTTCTTGAAACTTGCCTGATGTGAGAGCTAAAAGACATATCTTGATCAAATAGAACTCCTAGATTCCTAACAGTGGTGCTAGATGCCAAGCTGATGTCACTAAGGACAGTCAAATCACTAGAAAAAGTCTCTCTGAGGTTCTTAGGGCCTAGCACAATAACTTCAGTCTTGTCTGAGTTAAGTAGCTAACGTCCTAACGTCCTTAAGGCACGTTTCTAGCTGACATAACTGACTGGTGCCATTGGGCTTCATTGATACATAGAGCTGAGTATCATCTGCATAACAATGAAACTGTATGGAGTGTTTCCTCATAATATTTCCCAGAGGAAGCATATATAATGTAAAGAGAATTTGTCCAAGCACTGAACCTTGTGGGACTCCATGGCAAACTTTAGTGTGCATAGAGGACTCATCATTAACATGTACAAACTGAGATCGGTCTGATAAGTAGGATTCAACCAACTTAAAGCAGTCCCTGTAATTCCAAGCAAATGCTCCAGTCTGTACAACACGATCCGATGGTCAATGGTGTCAAAAGCAGCACTAAGATCTAACAAGACGAGCACAGAGAGAAGTCCCCTGTCTGAAGCTAGAAGTAGATCGTTTGTAACTTTAACTAGTGCAGTCTCAGTGCTATGGTGGACTCTAAATCCTGACTGAAACTCCTCAAATAAACTGTTGTCATGGAGAAAGTCACACAGCTGATTAGCTACCACCTTCTCCAGGATCTTCGAGATAAAAGGAAGGTTGGATATAGGCCTATAGTTAGCCAGAGTTCCTGAATCCAGAGTAGGCTTTTTAAGTAGAGGTTTGATTACCGCTACTTTAAGTGCCTGTGGTACATAGCCTGCCAGTAAAGACGAATTGATCATAACTAATATAGCGTTGCTAACTAAGGGAAAGACTTCCTTAAACAGCTTGGTTGGGATTGGGTCTAAAAGACAGGTTGACAGTTTCGACGCAGAAAAAATGGAATATAGCTCTGAAAGGTCGATTGGAGAAAAACAGTCGAGACTAATATCTGGTCCTGGAACTGTCTCTGCCGTATCAGACGTATACGCACCAGGTAAGGGCAGGAGGTTACCAATTTTGTCTCTGATGTCTAGAATTTTGTTGTTGAAAAAGCTCAGGAAGTCATTACTGCTGAGGGCTAGAGGAATACAAGGCTCAATGGAGTCATGACTCTCTGTCAGCCTGGCTACAGTGCTGAAAAGGTATCTAGGATTGCCTTTGTTTTCCTCGATTAGAGAGGAGTAGTAGGCAGCTCGAGCGTGACGTAGAGCCTTCATATATCTTCTATGACTATCCTGCCAGAAAAAACAAGATTCTACCGTTTTGGTCGAGCGCCATATTCTTTCAAAATTCCGCGACGATTGTTTTAGAGTACAGGTTTCTGAGTTGAACCATGGAGCCACTCTCCGCCGCTTGACAACCCTCCGTTCCAGGGGAGCAATTGAATCAAGAGAACTCTCGGCGAATCCACTGCACCATCAACAAACTGTCTAGCTGAGAGGAACTAAAGCTATCATAAGAGTTTCCAACTGGGTTGAAACACGGTACTGAATCAAAAACAGCTGAAATAGCTTCCTTAAATCTAGCCACAGCACTATCTGACAAACTTCTAGAGAGCACACCTCTTCCAAGCAGATGTAACTCTGGCAGGACAAAGTCGAATGTAATAAGAAAATGGTCTGATAGAAGAGGATTTTCTAGGAAAACTGTAAGGTTATGGATTTCAATGCCATAAGCTAAAACAAGATCCAGGGTGTGGTTGAAACGATGAGTAGGTTCGTTTACCACCTGGGTGAAACCAATAGAGTCTAATAGTGACATGAAAGCTGTGCTAAGGCTATCATTATCAACATCCACATAGATATTGAAGTCACCTACAACAATTATTCTATCACTGCTAAGGACTAAATCTGATAAAAATTCTGCAAATTCAGATAGAAACTCAGAATATGGGCCAGGAGGACGGTAAACTACAACAACTAGAACTGGCTGAAAGGTTCTTGAGACTGGATGTGAAAAACTAAGAAGAAGGCTTTCAAAAGAAGAAAAATTCATCCATTCATACACACTCAAACTGATGGTAGAGGCTGCTGAGTCAAGAGTTCATCAGTATTAACGCATCCATTCATACACATTTACACACTGATGGTAGAGGCTGCTGTGTAAAGAGACCATCAGTATTAACGCATCCATTCATACACATTTACACACTGATGGTAGAGGCTGCTGTGTAAAGAGACCATCAGTATTAACGCATCCATTCATACACATTCACACACTGATGGCAGAGGCTGCTGTGTAAAGAGACCATCAGTATTAACTCATCCATTCATACACATTCACACACCGATGGTAGAGGCTGCTGTGTAAAGAGTCCATCAGTATTAACTCATCCATTCATACACATTCACACACCGATGGTAGAGGCTGCTGTGTAAAGAGTCCATCAGTATTAACTCATCCATTCATACACATTCACACGCCGCTGCTCAAGCAGTGGGAGCAAATCAGGGTTAAGTAGTAGCAGAAAGAACCCCACCAGCCTTGATGTCATCCTTTGTTATTGTAGTGTTGATTGAAAGCACCCTGATGGAGGAGTCTCCATATTCTATCTGTAAAAAGGATCTGTATTTCCTGGGATGGATGTCCAAATGAGCTGTATAAAATATTATATAATTAAAATGTGTTTCATAAAACATAAAGTTGCTCTTCTTACAAAGATGAAATGTTGATTTATTATTTGAAATGTATCATTTTGTATGTCCGTGCAGTCTGACTCGGCCGTAGCTGTGGTGGAAAATACAGATGGAGGTGGTGATGAAGAGGAGGAGGTGACAGTTGATGAAGAGGAGGGAGAAGGAGATTTAGAAGTGGTCCAACCCACTGACGAGTGGCAAACACTCAAACAAGGTGAAGTAGTGCAAGTGTACTCATTTTTATAAAAACACATTTTTACTTCAGACTTAAAGAGAGTGTGTGTGTGTGTGTGTGTGTGTGTGTGTGTGTGTGTGTGTGTGTGTGTGTGTGTGTGTGTGTGTGTGTGTGTGTGTGTGTGTGTGTGTGTGTGTGTGTGTGTGTGTGTGTGTGTGTGTGTGTGTGTGTGTGTGTAGGTGCGGCAGTGCCAGCAGGTTCACATGTGCGGCTGAACCTGCAGACGGGTCAGAGGGAGGTTAGACTGGGAGAGGAGCAACTGAAATACTGGACACAGGAGGAGCACAGGTTGAAGATAACTAGTCTAAACCCTCTCTTAAACATTCAGTGACAGTCGTGTTTATTGAACTGATGTATCACTCATGACAGTTTGTCTCTGCAGGGAGCAGGAGGAGCCCCGGTCCTCTCTCGGTCCTGACGAGCTCAAACAGGCCATGAAGAAGATAAAGGACGAGATGAAGGCTTCGAGCAGAGACACAGAGCAGGAGGTAGCAGCCCCTCCCCCTTAATCCTTTTCATTCATGCCCATAGTCTGTCACGTCCACCTGTCAGTCCAATCAGCCTTCAATGTATGCACTAACTGTAAGCTTCATCAAAAAGGAATATTTTAGTAGTCTCACATACTACTTAACACTCTTTGGGCCTGATTTACTAAAGGTGTGTATTAAAATGTGTTCAAGCGTGATACCACCCGCAAAAAAAATCTATCTGATCTACTAACGGCATGCAGTGAGGACTGCGTCTTTCATATGAGCAAAACACCACGCATTGTCCATTTAGTACTCTTGCATTGATAGCTTAGTAAATCAGCTTAGGGTCAATCCATTCATCATGAAATATTATCATTCATTTCTCACTAACCGCACCCAGCAAGTCAGAGTGAACAGACCTGTGTCAGAGCTCACAACCATCAGCAGCGGTGCGCCCCAGGGGTGTGTTAGCTCACCAGTTCTGTCCACTCTCTACACAAATCAGTGCACCAGCAACAGTGGAAATGTACATGTTGTTAAATTTTCTGATGACACGGCCATCCTAGGCCTTACGCAAACCGACCCGGACATTCACACATATACATCAACAATCAGAAACTTTGTGCAGTGGTGTGATGAACACCATCTCCTCCTTAAAACAAAGGAGATACTGACGATACCCAGCTCTTCCTGTCATTCCCGCCAGACGATGTTACTCTGCAAGAATCTCGTCATGCCTTGCTGATATCTCTAAATGGATGAATGAACGGCACCTTCAACTCAACCTTTCAAAGACTGAGCTCCTTGTCATCCCAGCCAGTCCCTCTATGCAACCACAGATCAATATCCAGCTTGGAACAACCAAACTCATGGCCACAAAGTCTGGGTGTCATGCTAAACAGCTCCTGGTACAGGCTCTTGTGATATCACGCATCGATTATTGCAACTCTCTACTGGCAGGTCTTCCTACATGCACTATCAAACCTCTGCAAATGATACAAAATGCAGCAGCGCGACTGGTCTTCAACCTTCCTAAAAGAGCACATATCACTCCGCTGTTCATCTCCTTACACTGGCTCCCAGTTACTGCTCGCATCAAATTTAAAACTCTCCTGCTCGCTTACAAAACAGCGACAAAAACGGCTCCTCCTTACTTTAACTCTCTCAACCAGGTCTACCGCCTCCCGCCCACTACGCTCTGCCAATGAGAGGTGTCTGATCCAACCTTCACAACAGGGTCCTAAGTCTCTGACTAGACTCTTCTCCTCTGTTGCCCCCCGATGGTGGAACGAACTTCCAAACTCCATTTGATCTGCAGAGTCCCTCTGCACCTTTAAGAAAAAGCTAAAGACCCAGCTCTTTCATGAATACCTACTAACTTAATGATGATGGTCTCCATATTATTGATGATGATGATGATGGTAATGACGATGGTTTTTGTTTGATAACGATGACTTATAAGATGGTTTCTATACTGATTAGAGCTCTCAAGAACTGCCCTCAATGTTGTGCTTTGCCTCTGGTCACTTCCTGTCAGCACCTGTGTGTCCAATCAGACTCAAAGCTGATCGTTTGCTCTTACTGTTTCCTTTTTTCTAGATCCTTGCTTGTGTTGTACTTACTCTCTGATGTACGTCGCTTTGGATAAAAACGTCTGCTAAGTGAATTGTAGAATTGTAGATGATGTTGGACCCTGGGTCTCTTGGTGACCACTCACCAGTGGCCATCCATGATCACACCATAACACAGTTTGAGTCCTACAAATATATCTCGGCATCCACACAGACCATAAACTAGTGTGGAAGGCCCAGGTGGAAGCTGTCTGCTCCAGAGTTCAATGGCACTTCACTAACCGCCGGACAATGCAGAGTGCATAAAGTGAACAGTGTAATACAGTAAGCACGCTGCTGCTGCAGCCAGGGCGCTGTTTCCCTCCTTACGTTTAACCAGAGTAGAGGTTTATGTTGAAGGACTGTTGAGTGTTTAAATGACAAAAACTCAGTAAAATAGACAGAAGTGGGGATAATTTATTTTTTTTCAATATTGTATTGGGGAGGCCTGGCTTCCTTTGGCCACTGAAAGCTGATAGTTTGCTCTTACTGACATCATTTCCTTTTTTCTAAATCATTGCTTGTGTTGTACTTAAGTCTCTGATGTACGTCGCTTTGGATAAAAGCGTCTGCTGAGTTTATTGTAGAATTAACTGTGAGCTTTGTTCAGGGTTAGTTTTGTCTCTGTCCTTTTTATTTCAAATGAGTTTTGTTAAGTTGCTACTACTGTAAACACTCAACTTCCTGATATAAATGTTTTCAGATTAAAACAATCCCTCTGTTTACCTGACGATAGTTAAAAAAAACCTCAACGCTATGCAAAACAACCGCTTAGCAGTTAGCAGATGCTTTTTTTCCAATCCTCTTCAGCATCGATTACGTCCTGTCTCTGCATCGATGCATTAATCCATTAAATCATTAACACCACTGATCTCAGGGCAGGTTGAATAACTTTGTCAGAGTTTCTATAACCTTGAATAGCAGTATTTAAAATGATCTCATATATAAGTGAGCAATCTCACTTATATATGAGATCTTGTGCAGTATGTGCAATGTGCAGTAAACTGATTGTACTTTTGAGATGTTAGCTTCAGAGTTATTAGTCCAGAGTTCTGGTGGCAAACTGGAGG